GCTGGCTGTGGTGCACAAAACACTGGGCAAGGAAGTCCTGGAGAGAAGGACCATCCCCAGAGTGTTTCTGCCCCTTTCCCTGCCTTTTCCTCTTTGGGGACAGAGATGCATGCAATCCCTCATGTCATCTAAGACACCACATTTCTGTCCTCTGTCAGACTGACCCGGAGTGGATAGAGGAGTACGTCATGTCTGCTCACCCAGTCAGCTGTCACAAAGTCAAAGAGAAAACAGCAGAAGGGGCTGACAGAAATGATTCTGTGAAATACTGTCAAGAATGAGGAATAAAATAATGTAGTGAGATGAGTGATGTTCAGGGTCTGTTAAGCCAGATGGGGGCTGGACTGTGGGAATGAGCTTTGTCCTGGATTTGCCGCTACAATCATGATACATTGTCTTCCAGGTTGGCAGGTTGCTGCAACTTCTGCTGGGACATACCTGGTAAGGCAAACTTGCATGTTTAAAATACGTGTCATCCATGTCTTTACTTGCAAAGCGTGTGTGGGTTGGTGGTCAGTGTGGGCCCCTTCCTGATAGCGGTGCATTGACGGGAATCAATTGCTACAAGCCAGATCCAGTGTGTGTTGAGCATGGAGGTGGACGGTAAGTGCCCTTCCCCTTCTTGTCTCCCAAGCAGTGAGTGGAGTGGGGATAGCTTCTCCAGGTCTTTGCAGGGCTTCAGTGCAAGCACATCACCAGGCAGTTCAATGAAGGTGACACCCACCAACTACACTCAAATCATCAGAACAGTCCATCCCACTGGCCCTCATGCTTGAGTGATGGGAGGACTCGCATAACCCTGAACTTCCCAGCTGTTTGAAGTACAGAGCCGGTACTGATATGGATTTTGCAGACGGCAACTACCTAGCATGGCAAGATGCAAGCTATGGGTCCTAGGCACTTGTGTGTTTTCAGGCCAGATCTAAGCACAAATGGTTGCAGCTAACATGCTTGTCTGTATGCAATGATCACAAATAATGTTGTGCTACCATTGTAACTGCATGCTAAGATCATCTCTCTTCTCTCTTTCTCCCGGCACAGTGCTCCAGCTCCACTGTCAATGGTGAGTTTCTTTTCAAGTAATCTCCATAAGGAAGATTCAGACATGGTTCTGTATACATATTCCTATCACAGTTCCTTTATCTTTGTCTCTCTCTCTTTTGGGGGGAATCAGAATCTGCCGTGTGTGCTTCAGTGAAAAGGTATGTGAACCATCAGCAAATTCTCTTGGCAGCATTTTCCTTGGGAGTGATACTGGTTTGTTGGGGATGTCACTTTGGGTAGCAGGAAGCCTCTGAAAGCAGGAAGCCTCTGAAACCAGGTGTAGCACCTTTCTCCCCACCAAGTCCCAGGGTTGCCTGTGGGCAGGGAGGGCTCTAGTTGTGCTCATTGAAACAGTGAAGGGAAAATGCCTCCCTGGGTGTCTGTGCAGGACAAAAAAAGGCAGGGCAAGTCCCTGCTGTGTCAGCCAGCCTGATGCGGTGGGGATTTACTGCTCTGAGAGCCTTGCCATTGGTGCTGAGCTTAGCTTGGCTAGCGGTAGGGGCCTAAGACTCAAACAGGTCCACTTCAAGCTTTTATTGAACTTGATTTCTACCTAAGGGTCAACAATTTACAAGTACCCTCTCCCTGCTCCCGAACAGTGCCAGCAAATAATTCTCATCATCTGTGTTGTTTGTTTGTTCCTCTGTATTTGTTATGTGGGCTGTGCCTCGTTGTTATGGCTGCCTGGCATCGCTCCTGCTCCTTGATGCGTGGGCTGGACCCCTTTACACAAAAGTAGCTAATAGTTGTCCCTACTGCAGGTGAACAAAACTTCAGTGAATAAAAGCATGTGGTCAGGGCCATTCATACGCCTTTCACTGACTGCCTAGGCAAGGGCAGCTGCATTCCATGCCCGCGTTTGCAGACATACTGCTGACGGAGTGCCAGCTCCCAGCCAGTTCTGCCCCCAGCTGCTGCAGGTCTGGGGCAGCTGGCATGGAGGTGATGTCTTTGCTTTTTCCCCACCAGTGTCAGCCAGGAGATGCTTCTTGAGATAGCCCGTGTCCAAGCTTCCCCCTGCAGCCTCACTTTTGGTCAATACGCCTGTGCACAGGTAACAGCAGTCCCCTTCTTTTCATGAGCTAGTGTTTTGTTTTCTTTGACAATAGTGTAATTTCTATCTTAAAAGGAGTCCCACTGTCGGCTGTGAATGGCCAAAGCCTTCTGCAGGCTTGGGGTCTGGGTTGTCGATGTTTCCCTCACAAGGCTGAGAAAAGAGATGGGGTCAAGCACACAGGGACACAGGAACCATCCAGAGCACTGAGCTGTGGCAATGTCACCTTCCCAGGCAACACGTGCTCTGCGTCTGAGGCTCAGGAGCGGCTACACCACCATGGAGGCCTGTCTTTTCCAAACCTCTCAAATGAGAAAGTGGGACAAAGGAGATTTCCAAAACAAATTGGCTCTTAAAAACTGGCATCATAGTGTTGAAACAAATCTCTGCATGAGAGTAACCCTGGTCCATTGGGGTAAACCACTTCTGAGCACAATAAAAAGTGCTTGCGGCGTGGAAAACATCATCTGGAATATTTCAGGTTTACTTCCCTTCCTGCTTTTGTCATTATCTCTAAGTTGCTGTGCTGCCACTAATTGCAATTGAATTGACAAAGATTTGTATTTTCCCATAAATGTTTCTAACAAAAAGATGTAATTTCTTCAGGTATTTGTTGGTGGGGGTTTTGGGGTTGGTTTTTTTTTTCATTATAAAAAAATGTTTCTGGAATGAGGAAGTTTCTTACGGAAGTTTCCACTTTGATCAAATGGCCATTGTTTTTTTTTTTGGTGGGAAACCATTTTGAATAGTTTTTTAAAGCCACTCTTTGCTTGGGGGGAGCACAGATTAGGTAACAGAAGGATCCAGCATTTGGAACTGGGTAAGTTTAGGCTTGCTTCAAGTCAGTGTAAGTTGGACTTTCTTCCGACTCTTCTGTCAACAGGTTTCATCACCTTGAGGTACTGAATGCTCATGTGTAGGTGAGCTAGTGAAGCAGACCTGAAGGAGATTGCATACTGCAGCATCTCTAAATACGACATGCCTTTTATTATCTCTATATGGATTTCCCCCTTTTTTTTTTTTCAGAGTGCTTGGCTCCAGGACCTTCAGGATGATTTCCTCATATCCTTATATTCTTGCCTTACCCCTAAAACTGCCAGTGCTATGGATCTGGAATACTCCGTTCTGTTCTTTTCCAAATATGATGCCAAGAAGCTTCTAGCTGCTCTGACTATGTTCAGCCAGCGGGTGGGTATCACATATCCAACTGTTTGTTCACCTGTAACATTAATGCCAGTGGAAGGCATTAATTAACATTACCAGAGACAGGATTATTGCTAGGGGTGATTCTGTTCATTATGTTCAGATTCACATGGATTTCTGTTAATGTTTGATTAGAAGTCCATATTCACTTGAATTCATGTGTTTCTTCGTGTCTCTTGCCTGCAGTTTTCTCGTGTGCCTCTTTCTCTTGAGTGGAACATGATCTTCATTAATGGCCTGTGGGAGAAGATGTTGCAAGTACCTGATATTGACAGCCCACCCGTTTTGTTTCAGTGGGTCCACGAGGGGCTTCAGCCATTCCTGGTTGAGCCCAAGGCCTTTTCTTGCCTCCGTGCCAAAAACATATTGTGTGAGACATTTCGGATGATGTAAGTGCTGAACACAAACATTGTTTCAGTCCCGTGTTGCCGAGATAGGAAAGGGGCCCTTACTCCAGCCTCCTAAAGCAAGGGGCTAAACCCTGTAAGCACTGTGAACTGATGGAGGCCCAGGCGGGGTCTCTGAGAAGCTCTCTGCAAGGCTTCGTAACACACCTCCTGACCCTGTAACTGGTCCTCCCCATCAGTCAATACACGTGTAATGGCCCTGCTAGCACTGCGTTTCCAAAGCAGTACCGCAGGGTTGGCAGTGCAGCCCCCAAGGTGATCGTGGGGGCTCTTGTGAAGGGAAGTCATATTGGTAGCTTTGAAAAGGGATGCGATTGATAATATCAGTCTTTGAGTAACAGCCATTTCTGTGAGAATCCAACCCTGTCAGGTCTGACTTCATCTGTGTTTGCGATGTCTGCCTTTCTTATCCATCTTTAGAGTCGCTGCCCTGAATGGCATATATTCTGAGCTTCCAGTGGAAGAACAGAGGAATCTTTACACCGGGATCAAACACTATCTCATCCAGGATGGTAAATGACTCGATTTTCTTTAAGAAACAACAGAATGCTTTAAGCCACTGATGTTTGCTACAACATTAGCTGCAATCCGTTACAGGGCTGAGGCTTCACAGACTTTTTTGTGAATTTGTGTTGCCTCTTCAATGGAAATAGGCTGGGAATATGACAACCATAAGTGGTATCAGGAATCATTTCCCTGGCTGAGGGCTTTATTAATCCAAGATTTTTATAAATCAGCACAGTCAATCCTGTGCTGACTTACCTCCTGTGCAAATGGCATTTACTGCTGTTGTTGTGAAAGAGCGGTGCAGGGTTTGGTTCTGAGAGCTAAAGAATTCAGCTCAGAAGTTAGCTCAGAAAGGGGACCCAAGTAAGACACTCCCCTGTCTCCGGGCAGTAGCTTGCATGCAAAAATTTAACGTCCTGAAAACAGTTTTTTGGCAGATTTGAAGGGAGGAAGAGAGAGACTGGTGATGAAACATTTGGAGGGCTGTGAAAGAATGAGGCATCTGTCCTGTCCCCTGTAATCTGAATGCACACACGCAGATTTGAGCATAATGTGTGATCAGAGGCACTTAGGGAGCTCTCTGCTGACTGAGTTCTCTGATAGACTGAAGCCTGTTCCGCATTCGGAAATCTCCAATCTCCACTGATTTCCTGATACAGTGCAAGTCTGTAGTTTCATGGTGTCTGCCTGTTTTGCAGGATCAAACCAGAAATGCTACAGTGCAGCCGTTCCAGGTCTGAATTCCACTGCTTGGTTTGAAAATTATCTGGGATCCTTTTTGGAGCATGCTACTGCTGGAGACCTGCAGCTTTTTGGTGATGAACCAACAGTAAGTGCAGGCTCATCATGGCGATGAAGAGCCTGCAGTGTGCAAAATACTCTGTGCCTGGGAGGTCGTCTTCCTGCCCTGACCAAAATTCACAGAGGTGCTGCTAGCAGGAACATTTCTCTTGTTTATTTATGGTGAACAGTCACTTCAGTCCTTAATTTTTCCCCCATCGTGATTTCTTGTGATAAGAGGCACTTGCACAGAAGTTGGTTTCACATAGGTAGTTCTGCAGAGAACAAACTGGACTCAATAGGAGGAGCAAACCCAAACTTTATTTCAAGACTGGACTGATGTCTGGGCCTGGTTTAGTGAATGACTGTACGAGGCCTGCATGTGTGAGTGGTGCTGTAGGGGCAGGGCCACGTCCTTTAGCAGCTCTTCCACCTTTGTGCCTTACAGCAGTCATAGAGTGAGAGGCTTACCATGCCCTTGGAGTGCAAAGGTAAATAAAACAAGGTCCCAGTGTATTACTTGAAAACAAAAAATAAATTTCCTCACAACTTTAAAGCCAGGTGAAAAAACCCTTATTGCTTGAAGTGAGGTTTGTTCAAACTGCCCCAAGTGACTGTCAGGATTAAAGTATCCACCTAAATTATTTTTGGGTTTTTTTTTTCCCATTTCAACACCCTCAGCTTCAAAAATTTGCCAGGGATCCAGTCAATATACAGATGATCAGCAACCTCACCTTGCTCTGGGAGACGGCTGTGTACTATACCTCGCTACTGACCTCTGGACCTGATTTTCCCTTATCAAGGTACAGGACCTGACCTGACTTACTACTTGACTTATGGTTTAGCATGGCACCATGACTTACCAAAAGTTTGCTGAGTGGTGATTCTGATGGCTGCTTCCGTGAAACCTTTAAAGCATTTTTCTGTTCCTCAAATAATTGCGTTGCACTTCATCCTGGGGAGGGACAGACCACAAGTTCCAAATCTTGGGAAATGACTGTCATGCAGCGCCAGCCACCAACTAATGACCAACAGCGCATCGTGCATGTTTTTGCAGTTTTGCATGATGGAGCAGTGCTCTCTGTAAACAGGAGCATCAGCATCGTCAGAGCTAAAATGAATCAGGAGAAACATGCACTGGAAAAGAGCGTCCTTTGGACAAAGAGGAAAGATCTGACAGAGCCACTGTCTGTCATACTGGCAACCTCTCCTCCTTGTCTTCCACCTGCAGTCTCCCAGACAGATTTGTTTGCTACTTGAGCCCCTCGGCAGTGAGCAACCTGAGCAGAGATGATGCTTTGAGCTTGGCCCAGAGGATCAGTAAGAACTGCCCATTGAACCTGACACACAGAGGAATAACTAGAGAGAGAGCTCCCTCCTCCCTGACAACAGAGGAACTGCAGGTAATCTGTCCAGCCCCACAACTCAATTCTTCATTCACCTAGGCAAAATTTGTGAGGGTTGAGGATTCAACTCTCATGCCTCCTCTTGTGTACACTCCTGTAGGTCACCTTTCTTTTCTTATTGTGGCATCTGCCTGGTGTTTCATAATCTGAAAATTCTCTGGGTGGAGGCAGTCCATCAACAGGCCTCATCACACAAGTTTGAGGCAGAAAGTCCAGTGATTTAAGACATCCAAAGGCTGTAGGATCCAGTAGGCTCATGTCATTGCTCCTCCGACTTTCTTTTCTGTCTGTGTGGGACCTTTTCAGGTTGCATCCTCTTTGGTGAGAAAGTTTGAGCATTTCCCTCCTGCAATCCTGCATGCGTTGGGCCAGGCTGCAGTTGGGCTGTCCATATCCGACATCGAAAATGGCATCAGTGATAAAGACCTTGAAGCATCTATTCCTGCCCTGGGTGAAGTTCGCGGCTGGAACGCTGAGCAGTCCAGCACTATTATCAACAAACTGCTCAGCTCCGGCTATCAGGTACAAAGGATAATGTCCACAAATGCACCTCACACCCAGTATAGCTAACTGCCAGCAAATGGTGTTTGGCCCTTCATGTACTCATGCCTGCATGCATTACCTTTCAGATCCTGGACGGACAGAGCCTGGCAAAGCTAGGGAGCTTGGTGGCTGGCCTCAACAGCAGCACGCTTCGAAGTCTGTCTCCAGAAGTGATCTTGGAAGCCATTAAGTTGCCTGAGTTTGTTCAGCAAATGGTGACCCTGCCCTCTGCTCTGAAAAGGACATTTGTGGAAAAGGTGAAGTTGTTTTTCTCTTCAGGCGTCATAAATTAGCAAAGCTCCAGTGACTCATAGCTAAGAACACTGGTTACCTGGGGCCAGGCATTGACACACACGCACCTACACACCCAGACAGCATTCCCTTGGGGGTGTTTGTCATTGCTAAACAGAGTGTGCAGCAGGACAAGCATCTCAAGTCCCTATCACCGTGCCTGTGTAGATGTCCTTGGCTGCCAGCCAGCATGTCAGCTGCCAACCAGTGTGTCCTGCTTCACCTCTTGTGGAACAGGGCAGAAGCGACC